CTTCGTTCCTGTATTTTCGTTGTCCTTCATCACCATCTTATCCTTGGCACGCTGGATCAGCAAAGGTTGCTCTTGTAGTGTGAGGCCCTCCAGCTTTGTGAGGACGTCATCACATTCTTCTACAGGGCCCGTGAATCGCAGGAAGGCAAATCCATTCCTCCCACGCCAAGTGATGTCAATGGGCCTCACATCTCGACCTTGCAGGGCTTCTTTGAGCTCACGCACTCTGCAGATCAACAAAAGATTTGAATTATGGAATACCTAGAAAAATAACAGGTGGCAAGTGATGTGTAGCTTGCATTCTTTTAGAAATTAAAAACTGCTAGCACTGAGTAGATAGTAGTGACAAAGACTTTTTCATAGAACATGAAAAGTGACTCATCATGACTGCACAAAGCTCTTGGAGGGCTCTAGCATTATTTCAATTGGTAAACAAGGGTGGAATGTACCATCCAAAAGCCCTGACTGGAAAAGCACTAACTTCAGGGAGGACACTATTTCCATTCTCAATATTGTTACTGTTATTACAGAGTTATAGACTACCCAGAGAGATGGTCTGAAGTCTATGCAAGTGAAACAGCATATTATCATATCAATACATCTTATCAAATGACAAATATAGACCTTGGAAAAATCTAAATAGGTAAAAGGATCTTTTGAAAGCATTAAGATTTGCATACAGAAAACTTCCCAACTTAAACTTCCTAATCCTAACTACACATGTCTACACAAACCACAGACGAACATGCAACTCACCTACAAGCTGGAGGAACTTTACCAAGGAACACTGCATATGTGAATGGATTCCGAGGCTTTCTAGTCTTGAGACCCTTCCCCCCTTGGTTCTCATTGTCCAGGTCAGCTGAACCAAGGCGGTCCTGCTCATTCGTCGCTTCCACTGTTCTCTTCACTATTCGGTTCTTCTTGCTGACATTGATTGTAACCTTTGGGTGGGGAGTCATGAGTGGTTATCTACTATACACTTTGTTTACATTAATATTTGACTCCTACTAAAATTTTTAATGGAAACTGAGGTTTAAATCTACAGACTGGAACACTGGGCAAAAAAGTTATCAGTATCATTATTTTCATATTTCTGGAAGGGTAATCAACTCTAGCATTTTAAATATACGATCAACAGCTTTATATTCTATAATTGAAGCAAAGAGGTTCCAAAACACAGATACTGAAAGACAAGCCAAACTACATGAAACATCACTGTATATAACACATAATCACATAACATTAATAACTGGGAGCAGCAGTATCAAAGAGTAAAAGGAAAACTGCAATACACACAAATACTTTCCTAATTGTTGCTCCCTTATAGTATATCAAATGACAGAAGAACACTTGCAATGCTCGAAAGCAACACTCACAGATCCATCCTGAAGGCAGAAAAAAACAATTATACATAACAAGAATCATGCAATAGCATCTACTGTGAGAAGACAGGTCTTCATTAATTCTTTTGCATTCAGAGGACTAAAATAATTAATGGTTTGCCATGCTGCCTTATCTAAAGCTTCATTCCATAGAAAATGTTAAAAGCCACACACAATCCATGGAAGTCATTAGATTCACAATCAAGCTTGCATCAACTCTTCTTCTAGTCTATGATAATATAGTCTTAGTTGGAGTTTCAGAACAGCAAGTGGGAAAAAGCTTCCATTATGTCCGTGTTTAACCCCTTGCCGCCGGGTGACGGCGATACGCGTGTAAACAAATCGCTCGAAAGGTGGCGTGCGGCCAAACCAGCCGGCGGCGCGCCAAAGCGCGGCGAGCCAGTGATTCGGGCTGACGCCCCGTACTCCTGCGCTCAAAGTCGGCGCGCTGCCTTTGTTTGCCAGAGCGTAGAGTTTTATTTTCCTTTAGTACACCCGGCGTCATTGGGTTAAACATATCCTAAAATCTGTTTCCTAAAATACAGCAATCTTGAAACTATTGCCGTTTACAAATTTATTCTCCATCAAAAAATTGGTACAACATGTAAATAATAACTTGAATGTAGTTTAATGATCATGTCTAGAAAAAACTATTACCCATCAAAAAAATGGTATAACACCCATATAGCACACAGTGTAGTTTGATTCATCTAGCAAAGCAGATTGTCCTAGCAGGTTCCATGTGTACCTATGCTATACTGCCAAAGATTAATTACCTGACTTGACCTTATACCCACTTAATCCCTTGGAACTGGATAACCATGTCATTAAAAAAAAAAAAAAAAAAAAAAAAAAAAAAAACTATGTGATTTGTAATTAAGGCAAATATAGATCCCTGTCTGAGACTACGTGAAATATATCTGAAAAATATTGCAGTCTGATTGGCTGGCCGGAGTTTATCAAAAGGTTTGCCTTCAACTTGATACAAAATCAAAAGATGTTTCAACAGGTTCTAATAATGTATGCATAGAGGGCAAACATGTATCCAAGTGTATCAAAGTGCTAGGGATTTTGGAAATGTTACAAAAAAAAGCCTATATTGTCATGAAAAAAATTGCCTATAGGTTAGGGGTGTTAGGAACATGCCTTCATGAGAATATCAACTATTTCCTTATTCGGGATCCTATTCTTGCCTGCTGTGACCAGTGGCACAGGGTATATTACACTTACAGCTCAGCCCTTGAGCTCTAGGTGTACTACAACATCTAATCCTCCCTCGTACCACAGTCCAGACACTGCCTATTTATCAAATGCTCTTTAGCATTTATGCAGTAAATAACCTATAATAGCCATACAAAGTATCACTGTCATCCGAGATTTGTAAAGTTCAGTCACAAAAATGTATATGTCCGTGTTTAAACATATCCTAAAATCTGTTTCCTAAAATACAGCAATCTTGAAACTATTGCCGTTTACAAATTTATTCTCCATCAAAAAATTGGTACAACATGTAAATAATAACTTGAATGTAGTTTAATGATCATGTCTAGAAAAGACTATTACCCCTCAAAAAAATGGTATAACACCCAAATAGCACACAGTGTAGTTTGATTAATCTAGCATAGCAGATTGTCCTAGCAGGTTCCATGTGTACCTATGCTATGTAAGTCCCAACCTTTCTCTAAGGGTATGACTACGTCTTTTATTGATGCAAGAATCTCCTACTGCCAAAGATTAATTACCTGACTTGACCTTATACCCAGTTAATCCCTTGGAACTGGATAACCATGTCATTAAAAAAAAAAAAAAAGCAAGGACCAGGTGACATGAATGTCATCATCAATATGACTCAATGATCAATAGGAAATTCTTACCGTGTCTTTCCAGAGACCATCATGATTGCCTTCAGATCTTATCCACAGAGTGAATATGTATTTGATGTACTGTTAAAAAGGCACAAACATTTTATACAGCTTTACAAAAAAAAAAAAAAAAAACTATAAAAAAAAACTATGTGATTTGTAATTAAGGCAAATATAGATCCCTGTCTGAGACTACGTGAAATATATCTGAAAAATATCGCAGTCTGATTGGCTGGCCGGAGTTTAACAAAAGGTTTGCCTTCAACTTGATACAAAATCAAAAGATGTTTCAACAGGTTCTAATAATGTATGCATAGAGGGCAAACATGTATCCAAGTGTATCAAAGTGCTAGGGATTTTGGAAATGTTACAAAAAAAAGCCTATATTGTCATGAAAAAAATTGCCTATAGGTTAGGGGTGTTAGGAACATGCCTTCATGAGAATATCAACTATTTCCTTATTCGGGATCCTATTCTTGCCTGCTGTGACCAGTGGCACAGGGTATATTACACTTACAGCTCAGCCCTTGAGCTCTAGGTGTACTACAACATCTAATCCTCCCTCGTACCACAGTCCAGACACTGCCTATTTATCAAATGCTCTTTAGCATTTATCAGTAAATAAACTATAATAGCCATACAATGTATCACTGTCCCTACAAGATTTGTAAATTTCAGTCACAAAAATGTATATGTGCCCGTGTGTACATGTATACTTGTGGGCCCGTGTGTACATGTATACTTGTGGGCTCGTGTGTACATGTATACTTGTGGGCCGTGTGTACATGTATACTTGTGGGCCGTGTGTACATGTATACTTGTGGGCCGTGTGTACATGTATACTTGTGGGCCGTGTGTACATGTATACTTGTGGGCCGTGTGTACATGTATACTTGTGGGCCGTGTGTACATGTATACTTGTGGGCCCGTGTGTACATGTATACTTGTGGGCCCGTGTGTACATGTATACTTGTGGGCCCGTGTGTACATGTATACTTGTGGGCCGTGTGTACATGTATACTTGTGGGCCGTGTGTACATGTATACTTGTGGGCCGTGTGTACATGTATACTTGTGGGCCCGTGTGTACATGTATACTTGTGGGCCCGTGTGTACATGTATACTTGTGGGCCGTGTGTACATGTATACTTGTGGGCCGTGTGTACATGTATACTTGTGGGCCGTGTGTACATGTATACTTGTGGGCCGTGTGTACATGTATACTTGTGGGCCCGTGTGTACATGTATACTTGTGGGCCGTGTGTACATGTATACTTGTGGGCCCGTGTGTACATGTATACTTGTGGGCCCGTGTGTACATGTATACTTGTGGGCCCGTGTGTACATGTATACTTGTGGGCCCGTGTGTACATGTATACTTGTGGGCCGTGTGTACATGTATACTTGTGGGCCCGTGTGTACATGTATACTTGTGGGCCCGTGTGTACATGTATACTTGTGGGCCCGTGTGTACATGTATACTTGTGGGCCGTGTGTACATGTATACTTGTGGGCCGTGTGTACATGTATACTTGTGGGCCGTGTGTACATGTATACTTGTGGGCCGTGTGTACATGTATACTTGTGGGCCGTGTGTACATGTATACTTGTGGGCCGTGTGTACATGTATACTTGTGGGCCGTGTGTACATGTATACTTGTGGGCCGTGTGTACATGTATACTTGTGGGCCGTGTGTATACATGTATACTTGTGGGCCCGTGTGTACATGTATACTTGTGGGCTCGTGTGTACATGTATACTTGTGGGCCCGTGTGTACATGTATACTTGTGGGCCCGTGTGTACATGTATACTTGTGGGCCCGTGTGTATATGTATACTTCTGTGCCCGAGTCCTATGAAATGGTATTGACTTTGGTGGGATGAGTATCTTCAAAATCATTCTGTATGTCTGTGATATAACCTTCAAACAAAAAAAAAAAAATTTTTTTTTTTTTTTTTTTTTTTTTTTTGGGGGGGGGGGTTTGAAGGTTATATCACAGACATACAGAATGATTTTGAAGACACTCATCCCACCAAAGTCAATACCATGTCATAGGACTCCGACACGTTGGAAATCCTTATCATGATTAACTTCAAATCTTACTCATATAGTGTGACACGATTGGCTGGCCTGAGTATCAAACCATATCAAGTTGAAGGCATACATTTTGATACAAATGGAAAAGATGTTTCAACAGATTCCAATAATGTACTCCTAAAGGACAAACATTTCTCAGAATATATCAGTGTTAGGAGTTTCAGCAATGTTACGAAGAGGCCTTACATGTCTGTACCCAGTTATCAGTTTAACTTTTAGAGTGAAAATTATGAAAAGGAGAATTAATTTTATTTCCAATTATTTGAAACTAATAGAAAACATGAACAAAACTCACTCATACAGATGAAACCAATATCTTAATTTCAAAGGATCCCATAACCTCACATTTACCACATGCATTTCAATATCAATGCAAGCATTTCTGGATAGATGCAAAAAGCTGTGTAGCAGATTATCAAGAAAATTACTTATATAGGACAGAAAAGGATTTGTATGAAGAAAAAAGACAAAAATTGATAAAAAGCAAAGCAAAGGCATAACACAATTATAAGACGACAACAACAAGAAAATTCCAAAGATAGAGAAAAGACTTCAAATACTTACTTGAATGTTCTTCTGGCCTTTATTGTCTTCTCCCTCTGACAAAGTCCTGCCTCCTCCTCGGCCACCTCCTCGGCCACCTCCTCGGCCTCTGCCTCTGCCTCTGGTTCCTTGGCCCCCACCACGACCACGACTATTGGCTGCCTTTTGTTCATCTGTTAGTTCTGCGAGAGTCACATCTTTTCCAGCCCTGCAGAATTAGAACTTAATTAGGCTCTACTGAAGGATTCTTTCAGGTAGTTCCTACAATGCTCTCCTGAAGTGGCATTTTATTCTTACAAGAAAAACAAAGGATTCTGGCTTGGGGAAAAAATAATGCTGCCATCAGAAATCATATACTATTTAACCCATTCACGCCGGGTGTCACATACACAGATAGTCCCCTACTTAAGAATATTCTACTTATGAACATTCCATACATACAAACAAAATTTTTTAAGTACTAAAGTCCAAAAAATTGTCTGAAAGATGCTAGCAAACTTCAAATTTCCCGGGCGCGAATATAGTTCAACAGTCTGGTACTGTATAAGGTATGTTGTACTTATTGGGATTTATTTACAGGTATTCTTAATGTAAACAAAACTTTATAACAATGGGAAAAAAGGTAATGGAGACCTGACTTTCGACATACAAACAAATCAACTTACAAACAGCCTCTCGGGCCCCATTATGTTCTTAAAGTTGGGAACTTACTGTACGTGACATGCCACTGTGAGTTTACTTGTTTAATTGTTTTTACACATGGATGGCGACACTTATACTTGTACTGCCTGTCTCACCCGTTTACCTTTTTCTTTAATTTATGAAAATATTTTACGTTATCTTATTTTGTTGTTACTAATGTTTATAACATTATAGTAATTATAATGTTTATAATTTAAATAACCATCGATATTTGTTCAAGTAAAGGTGAAATCAGGTAAGGCAGAGCCATCTAAGTGTAGAGACATTTCAGAAAAAAAATATAAAAAATGAGCACAGCATTTTCCCCATTTTTTTTTTATTTTTACCCAACTCGAATGGGTTAAGAAGAAAATCATACATCACTTCAGTAACTTACTCTCGCTCCTTTTCCCGAAGCGTTTTCAAGATTGGAACCTGTTTTAACTTCTCTGGAGACAAAAGGTGCCAGTAAATTCCCTCTGGTTTAGGCAAACGATGTGAAACCTGGAACACTTCAGTTGGGGTTACAATGAAGTCCACTGGCACATCATGTGGGCCGAAGAGCCGGTCGGGCAGGGTATCAAACAGCTGGCAAAAAAAGAGAGATTTGTTAGAATATCCTGATATACAAGTATACTACTACCTTCAGTCTCAGTCAAGTGAGTAGTGAATAACTTAAAATCTTTCACCCAGTATTAAAGGTGATGGACTAGTACAAGTAAGTAGTGGAAGTTGGCAGCATTAAGGGGACCATCCAAATTGAGGGGGGTAAAAGAGTCAAATGAATGAAGAAACTACCAAAGGACTAAGCCAAAACTGGTTTATTTCTTGGCATAAGCAACGACAGGTTAACTTTGGACACAGGTAATTAGAGCCACGTACACCTGTATGGACTTTTACTTGCATATAGAATTGCACATAGATATGAGTTCATGAATGTCCAAAGAACACTTTTATACCAAAATCAGATAAAATGAAAGTTACTATGATCTACTAAGAAATATTTTGATTTTTTCTTCAAAAATGTGAGTTTTCTTGATATTTATATGTGAAATATGCTTTACATCAAGACTCCCTGGTAATATGCTGTAGTTTATGCTGGGGTCTATATGTGTAATGAGTATAAATACTAATGTTTAAAAATAAAAGTATAACTAATAATGATAATATTTCAGTTTGGAACACCTCTAGGAGTTGATACAGACAGCAAATTTGTTTTGATTTGAAATTTGTCATTTCCATTGTAAAGAGCACTTCAATATGAAGGCCATCCCATGGTTGGAAATTTGAACTTCGGAAAAATAAGTGAAATATTAATTATCTTATGTTGATGATGATAGAACCCAACGATACCTGCTCTAAAATGAAAACTATACGGAATTTTGAAATCGGTCTTATCCAACCACTTTGTAAGTTCATGCAGCTAACGCACCCTTTTTATGCATTTCCATTAAAAAATGCAACCTGAAGATGCTACCATTGGCTGTAGGTACCAAAAATACAGAAAATACCTCCCCCCCCCCATCATTTTGCTCATTTATTTGCAAAGATAATGTGCTCAAATGTCTGAACACTAACAATGCAATGTTTTTCCCACACGCATACATGCAAAAGGCACTAAATTTCTACTGAATGTTGTTATCACTTTCCTCCAGGAAAGTTCCCTTACACTACCAACATGCACTACTGACTTATCTGGGATCAATGCCACCTAAAATACAGAATAATTTCTGCCAAGTGACACCTTACATGAGTAAGTGCTTAGTTTTTATCATATATTACATGTGTTTTCTTCCATTTTCTTCTAGATTTAAGCCTTAGATCTAACACTAGTTAGCAAAGCACAAAACATCAAGGAAACAGAGGGAGAGAATAAGAAAAAAGTAGAGGTGGGAGGGAGAGGAGGCAACAGCAGGGAGAGCACAGGTGGGAGGCAGAGAGGGAGACAGCAAGACAGCAGGGATACCACAGGTGGGAGGCAGAGAGGGAGACAGAATGGATAGCAGAGATGGGAAGGAAAAAGGGAGACAGAATGGATAGCAGAGATGGGAAGGAAAAAGGGAGACAGAATGGATAGCAGAGATTGGAAGGAAAGAGGGAGACAGCAGGGATACCAAAGATGGGAAGGAGAAGGGAGGAACAAGAGTTACAAACCTGGCAGTCATGCACTGTGGTAACAACAAGAGTGTTGTCATCAACTGCGTTCATGGCTTTCATCATGCCATATTCAAGGTCAGCAAATCCTTCACCTTTACCAATTCTTCGACCTAACAGGGAGGAAAAAAAAAAAAGGATTAGCTCTTTATTCACACCAGAATAAGAGTAATAGAACAAATTATGATAATCACCAATATTCATCACAATATATAATTCATAGATGGAAAAAAAAGAAAATGGCAAGAAACAAGAGCATTACTTCTTTCTCCTATGTAATGTTAACAAATTTTTGTCACTTCTCATTCTAAAATCTGCTTGGAAATTAAACCTGTTTTGCTGGGATTGCATGGTATATGTGCCATATCCGGTGTGATTAGTTTATTGATTTGTTTATACATAGATGGCTCCACAAATACTTAACCCATAGCCACCGGGGAAAATTAACGAAAAATGGGGAAAATGCTGTACTCATTTTTTATATTTTAGTGAAATATCTCTGTACATAGATGGCTCTGCTAGTCCTGATTTCACCTTTCCTTGAATTGGTGGGAAAAAACGTATTCTTACTAGTGCTATAAATATAGCGTTATTTTTAACAGCAAATTAGGATAACGTTAAATATTTTTGTAAATCGATGAAATGGGTGAACGGGCGAGACAGGTAGTACTCGTAAATGGCTCACTGGTGACTTAGTACAAGTGTAGCCACCTATGTGTAAAAATAATCAAACAAGTTGACTCACAGTGGGCATGGCATGTACGTACATGCCATCCCCGTGGGCAATGGGTTAGGTCACCAAGGATTCAACTACTAGTTCTACCTTTTTCAACTGTTTACCCTTCTTGGTTTTAGTAAATCTTCATTTCTTGTAACTAAATATTTTACTACCATTACAATAATCATAATGACTGCTTGAGGGACTGGTGACAAAGATACAGGAAAATCTGGCAGTAGGCTGGGTAACATCAACATACTATCACAGGTAAATCTGGCTGTAGGCTGGGTGGCGTGAACATGCCATTGTGAGTATTTCAGCTGAAGACTGAAGGCTGAAATGCTCTTGTATGAATGGAATGTAATGTCTGTGAGCAGTGACTGGTAGAGTGCTGGTTCCATGAAGGATGCCATTTCCATGCTCAGCATTGTATTCTTGGTGCTATGACCGGCAACACAGGTTGTTGTAACCCAATGGTGCCGGGGAAAATGAACAAAAAATAGAGAAAATGCTGTGCCCACTTTCTATGTTTTTCGTGAAATGTCTGCCGATAGATGGCTCTGCTAGCACCTGATTTGAAATGGCGGGAAAAACGTATTTTTCCCTAGTGCTATGAAAATCGATGGTGTTATTTTTATCATAAACATTATAATTTTTATAATGTTTTTTAACATTAGTAACAGCAAAATAAGATAACGTAAAATATTTCATAAATCAAAGAAACGGGTGAACGGGCGAGACGGGCGGTACTCGTAACTGGCTCATTGGTGATTTAGTACAAGTGTTGCCATCTATGTATAAAAACAACCAAACAAGTACTCACGGTGGGCATAGCATGTACGTACACGTCATACCCGGCACCAAGGGGTTAAAGAAAATTGAATACTACAAAAAAAAAAAGATAATGCAAATCAAATGACAAATATAGACATTGGAAAATGGCCAAAAAGCTAAAAACACTATTGCAAAAGAGGAAACAACTTTGCAAATAGGAGGTAGAGCGTCTTGTCACAGAGGTGTTTGTGTTACCCGGTCTACAAGCAGTAACCTAACAGAACAGCAAGAAAAGTAAGCCTAATGCACAGATTTTTGGTAATTTGATTGCCAAATTTGGTTAAGTGAGGTTACTGGCTACTTATTCACTGTAGAACCATCTGTGACAAAATTCAAAGCAGACAGTACATATACTCACATGCAAAAAAGGGTTAACTTTGACACTTGCATTTATTTGTCTAGAATTGTGTGTGAATAATACAACTACAACGTACCAATTATTTTGGAGTTAAAAGATTTTAAGAAGAAAATAAAGGTAAATAGGCATGCCAATCAATTTAAATTTCCCATGCAGTAAAATTTTTGGGACAGTAATATACAAATTGTATATTAATTGTCTTTTCAACAGGCTGAGATGGAGAGCAGCATGTTAGTGAAAGATTCCCTGCGTGCAGCGGGAGAGGCAAGGAAAAGAGCAAAATAGACAAGAAAAATACATGACATAAATAAACAAATAAATATATAGAATGTCAAGCCTAAACCATACCTGTGCGCGAGACTGCCACAGAACCAATTACAATGAGATCAACCTTAATGTTTGCCTCAAGATCCACAGGTTTTGAGTACTTCTTCATTCCCTCTGTGCTTGCCATGGTTCTTAAGGTCTCCTTGCTTTCTGATGGATTGCCATCAATGCGGTTAAAAAGTCCACTGCGGAGGCGTGGTGTGGGCATCAGCAGTGTTTTACCTGCCTGTGTTATAAAGAAAAAAATAATAAATATTACTTTTATCAATAGTTAATAATCCAAACTTTATTTTTTTATGTATCTTACAATTAGTGTGAACAGTCCTCATCCACAAAAAAAATAATAATAATAAAAAAAAATTAAAAAATAATAAAATAAAAGAATGGAACTCCTTATGCAGCAGTACCTATGAATATCTAATGATCATTTACCAACACTTACAATTGTGAACGAGTATGAAACTTAAAAATGAAAATGAAAATCTCAGTGAGACACCTCCCCTCTGCTGATCTGCCTTAAATGAATGGTTAATCAGATTTGGAAAGAAAACCAGATACACAAGAACTGGCATAGCTTCTTAGACCACTTTTTTATTGGAGTTTTGAAAAGTTTACTTTTAAATACACCATTGAATACAGACAGGGTAAATTGTCTGGAACAGCAGCACAGAGCATACTGTAAATCTTCAACATAAAGGTCTCTTGTGATCCATATACTGACTGGAACATATCCTACCAGAAAGAGAAAGAAAGAGAAAGAAAGATATGGTGGCAGTGCAGAAAAGGGGCAACCAAACAAAGCAAACCAACCAGTGAGCAACACCAATGCCTGGGTGTCTTTCCTTTACTTCCTCCAAACCAGATGGTACTCTGGCTAGTGAGTGAACTAGTATTTCCAGCAGCATCCAATCACTTGTGCATTACAATATAACTACAATGGCCAAACTATTTTTTTGTGTGTGTGTGTGTGTGTGTGTTTTCATCCAACTTTTTTTTCTTTATTACAAATGTATCTACTGTTTGCTTGTAGCACCTAGTGCAATTGACACACTGGGTTGAAACTTTGGGTTGAAAAACAATTATCTGGTTTATCACCATAGTACAACAGCCCATTTCTTGGAATAGTGTTTTTCTGCATTTATTTTGGAACCATTCCTGCTTCATAAGAACAGTAAAACAAAGGTTTAAATTCACTGGTGACAAGTATCTACAAGCACAAATAAAACAAATAATTTCTAAGAACAGTCTCAACATTTTACTTTAGTTTGTGCATTTTATGTTTGATATACACATAAATAGGCTTTAGAATCTCGATTATGATGTCCATTTTCTCTCTCGCAGATTTCCCCCTTTTTTGGGGGGGAGGGGGGATTCTTTTGCAAACATTGAAAATTACAAATATCTTTTTGTAGATCAAATATTATATCCTTTTAGCAAAGTTCAAAGGCATTATGGCATAGCACAGATAAATAATTAATTGCAGTATGTGGAAAATTTATATCACTGGCTATATATAATTTATATTACATACAATATATACGATATATAATATGATATGATATACAATATATACTATATATAATATATGATATGATATATGATAAATATGATATATACATATACATATATATATATCATATGTATATGTATGATATATATATCATACATATACATATGATATATATATCATACATATACATATGATATATATATCATACATATACATATGATATATATATCATACATATACATATGATATATATATCATACATATACATATGATATATATATCATACATATACATATGATATATATATCATACATATACATATGATATATATATCATACATATACATATGATATATATATCATACATATACATATGATATATATATCATACATATACATATGTTATATATATATATATATATTACATATGTTATATATATATATATATTACATATATATATCTGATATACATATATATATATCATACATATATATATATATATCTGATATATATATATATATATATCATACATATATATATATGATATATATATATATCATACATATATGATATATATATATATATATCATACATATATATATATCTGATATACATATATATATATCATACATATATATATATATGATATATATATATCATACATATATGATATATATATCTGATATAGCTAATATATCTGATATATATATATCAGATATATTAGCTATATCAGATATATACATCATATATGTATGATATATATATATATATCAGATATATATATATATCAGATATATATATATATATCAGATATATATATATATCAGATATATATAAATATATATATCTGATATATATATATAATTTATATATCATATATATATATATCATATATATATATCATATACATATCTGATATATATATATATCTGATATATATATATATCTGATATATATATATCTGATATATATATATATATCTGATATATATATATATATATCTGATATATATATATATCAGATATATATATATATATATATCAGATATATATATATCAGATATATATATATATCAGATATATATATATATCTGATATATATATACATGTCTGATATATATATACATGTCTGATATATATATACATGTCTGATATATATATACATGTCTGATATATATATACATGTCTGATATATATATACATGTCTGATATATATATATATGATATATATATATATATCTGATATATATATATCTGATATATATATATATCTGATATATATATATATATCTGATATATATATATATATATCTGATATATATATATATATCTGATATATATATATATATATATATATCTGATATATGTATATATATATCTGATATATGTATATATATATCTGATATATATATATCTGATATATATATATCTGATATATATATATCTGATATATATATATCTGATATATATATATATATATCTGATATATATATATATATCTGATATATATATATAAATCTGATATATATATATATCTGATATATCTGATATATATATATATCTGATATATATATATACCAGATATATATATATCAGATATATATATATATCTTATATATATATATCTTATATATATATATATATATCTTATATATATATATAATATCTGATATATATATCTGATATATATATATATCTGATATATATATATATCTGATATATATATATCTGATATATATATATATATATCTGATATATATATATATATCTGATATATATATATATATATCTGATATATATATATATCTGATATATATATATATATCTGATATATATATATATCTGATATATATATATATCTGATATATATATATATCTGATATATATATATATATATATATATCTGATATATATATATATATCTGATATATATATATCAGATATATATATATATCTGATATATATATATCAGATATATATATATATCTGATATATATATCAGATATATATATCAGATATATATATATATCTGATATATATATATCACATATATATATATCTGATATATATATATCTGATATATATATATATATCTGATATATATATATCTATATCTGATATATATATATCTATATCTGATATATATATATATATCTATATCTGATATATATATATATCTGATATATATATATCTGATATATATATATATATCTGATATATATATATATATATATATATATATATGATGTATATATATGATACATCTGATATATATATATCTCATATATATATCAGATATATATATATATCAGATGATATATATATATCAGATGATATATATATATCAGATATATATATATCAGATATATATATATATATATCAGATATATATATATATCAGATATATACATATATATCAGATATATACATATATATCAGATATATACATATATATCAGATATATACATATATATCAGATATATACATATATATCAGATATATACATATATATCAGATATATATATATCAGATATATATATATATCAGATATATATATATCAGATATATATATCAGATATATATATCAGATATATATATATCAGATATATATATATCTATATATCAGATATATATATATCAGATATACATATATCTATATATATATATCATATATATATCAGATACATATATCTATATATATATATATCATATATATATATATATCAGATATATATATATCAGATAAACATATATATCAGATATATATATATATCTTATATATATATATAATATCTGATATATATATATATCTGATATATATATATAATATCTGATATATATATAGATATATATCTGATATATATATATATATATCTGATATATATATATATACACATATATCTGATATATATATATATACACATATATCTGATATATATATATATATCTGATATATATATATAGATATATATCTGATATATATATAGATATATATCATATATATATATTGATATATATATATATCTGATATATATATATCTGATATATATATATATATCTGATATATATATATATCTGATATATATATATATGATATATATATATATATATCTGATATATATATCTGATATATATATATATATATATCTGATATATATATATATCTGATATATCTAATATATATATATATCTGATATATATATCTGATATCTATATATATATCTGATATATCTGATATATATATATCTGATATATCTGATATATATATATATCTGATATATCTGATATATATATATATCTGATATATCTGATATATATGTATATATCTGATATATATGTATATATCTGATATATATGTATATGTATATATCTGATATATATGTATATGTATATATCTGATATATATGTATATATATATATCTGATATATATGTATATGTATATATCTGATATATACATATATATATCTGATATATATATATATATCTGATATACATATATATATATATATCTGATATACATATATATATGTATATATATATATCTGATATATATATATATCTGATATATATATATCTGATATATATCAGATATATACATATACATATATATCAGATATATACATATATATCAGATATATATATATCAGATATATACATATATATCAGATATATATATATATCTGATATATATATATCTGATATATATATATCAGATATATATATATATATATCTGATATATATATAT